CTTTAATAAATCCATGCTAATAGTATTATCAGACAGTATCAGGATTTTTAAGATGTATAAATAACTTACAATGAGTAAATAATACTATAAATAAGCCCATCCTGAAAACCCCAAATATTTTCTGGTGAATGCCTCTCAGATCCTTTCAAGAAGGTCTTTGAATTAAAAGGCAGGAAGAGTCTCTCAGGCCAAGAGTCTGTTCCCCGGGGTCAGACACTGAAGATGCAGTGTTGGAAGTAGAAAAGAAAAAAATAAACACCAAAGGGGTTCGCGGACGCTACAGACACACGCTGTTCAGCTGCCATTTCACTACAGCATTATACGTAACGGCGAACATGGAAGTGACTTCACAGTCACGACCCCATGTTACCATTTGGTGTTTTTTTTGAAAACATTCTTTACTTGCTGCTTAAAGCGGTGCTCTGAAAACAGACTGCACTGTGAGCGCTCCAGTGTTTTTAACTGGTCAATCCCTCCCCACCCTCTAAATTTACTAAGTCGAGAGGGACACTTAATCAAACACATGAAAGGCCAAAACACAAGGAATGTCTGAAGCAAAGGAGACAGCTCATTGTGAATCAAATAAGACGCATTCTTATGCAAGAATGATCAAAAATACATTTCCAGTGGTTATCGTGGTTATAGCCAGTGGTAGGATGAGACTTCTGTTTTCTTCCATTTGTGGATATAGTCCAAACTTCCTACAATGAAAATACTCATGCAGAAATAAAAAAAAAAATAAAAAAATAAAAAAAACAGATCGCAAGAAACATTCAGACAGAACACAAAGTGGCAAGAAACAACAGAAATGTCGTTGGAGCTGACGACGATTTTGTGCATTATGGTAGACTTAAAACCATCAAACTAACACTTCTCCAGTTTTGCAAAACTTGAAGAACAAAGGCTGTGATAAGCCCTGAACACATATTTCAAAAAGCCACCTATCACCGCCCACCCCGTTTAACCGGGAGACAGCTTCTTCGTGGCTGAGCACCTTCATCTCGGTTCCTCCCACCAGCTGTGGAAACACCACTCGCTGGCTTTGAAAATACAATCCTATGCCCTGTAACTAATCTTTACCATTAAAAAGACCAATAAAAGCACATGTTCGATTTATGTTACACAGTGCGTAATCTGTCCTGCCAAAGTACTGGGTACCGCCTTTCGAGCTGACGAGTTAGCCTAGTAGTCATCGCTGAGCCATTCAAAAGGGCCAAGAGTCGCTAGCTGTATCCTCTGCCTTAACATAGGACACTCGGCAGTCAAGGGTGTTACCTGATCTTTACAAAGCAGAACTTTATAATTAATATGTGAACCTGAAACAGCCTTCAGTTCCAAGAAAAGCTTTGAAAACTTTGAAATAGATAAAACAAGCCCCTGGTCTTACTAACGCCCTGGCCACCAACACTTAAAAGCACGGACTATGAGGAAGGAAATCTGCTTTGTCTGTCAAGGAGAAAACCGTTCCACTGGCCCAGTCCACCCTTTCGCTCCCGTTCGGCAGGCTGGTGGCAGTGCAGCGACAGCAACTAGCATGTGCCAGGCCCTGTGCTGGGCTCGGCCGGTGACCCAAAACAAAACCACAGGCTCTGGCCCTCAGGGCTTTGAAACCTACCCCTAAATATTTTGTAAATGCTGACTATGTGCTAGACTCTGAACAGGTGGCCCATGCTGCCACCCGCCACCCTGGACCCACGGCACAAATGCCAATTAACCCAAACTGTTTCTCACTCCGGGCCCAATGTGACTACATTTCAGGTGACCCTTAGCAACCAGAGCGCAGCAGGAGGATGAAACCTGTGTGCCATCCCGGCCTCGAGCCCAGAAGATTCAAGTAAATGAGGTGCAGAAGCTCCGATCTCCACACACATGAAAATGAGAAACGTACAGAGCAGAGATGGCGACGGACAGGGCACGCGGCCAGAGCAGAGGAAAGCACGAAGGAAAAGCACTCGGGCGTGGGGCGGGACTCAAGGAGAATCAGTGCGGGGGAAGCTGCGTGCTGGGTTGAGGACGCGGTGAGCCTGGCAGGAGCGCCGTTCTCCCAGAGAAGCGGCAGCCGAGCTGAAGGGGCAGGAGCACCACGGCCCCTCCTGAGGTCTGCGGGAGTCGCTTCGATTCTCGGGCTTCAGTTCCCTGCTTCCACGGCTGGGGGACCGTCCCTCACGACCCCGCCACCATCTTCTACGAGCTACCTGCAGACCCGCGTCCATCAACACGTCTGCCACGGCCGGACGAGCTGTCTACAAGAGCCCAGGATTCTGAGACTGACTTCCCCGGGTGATAGGTGCTTCTACTACTCACCTGCACACCTAAAATTCTTCTCTATTCATCATTAGTTAATAAAATAATAGAATCCACGGTCTCTCACCCATCTCCTTAAATTCCTCATTGGTCAGCTCCAGCCACGCAGCGTCCATGTCATTGAGGTCGTAACGACACACACTGTCGGCCAGCGTCCGGATGTCCACGTAGCCCAGCTCTGGGGGCTCAGAGCCCGAGGAGACGATGTATTTCTTGGGCCTGATGAACACGAGGGGTTTCTCTTCAGACACAACCCTAGTTATCCAGCAAGAAAACAAGCAGCCGGGTCACCCTTTCTGCCGCACAAAAGGAAGTCTGTCAGGAGGCCCCAAGTGAGCCTCTACCTCCACCCCCAAACCCGGGTCACCGCCAGGTTAATGGGCTTAAAGCCCTAACGTCACTGCTGATGAAAGTAAGTGGGGGGTCGTGTCAGTGCCCCAAACAGAGACGCGTGTGAAAATACTGCAGAGGTCTCCGAAACCAGCTGCTTCTTCCACTGGCTTCTCCAGACACCGCTGCGCCCTGCCGCCACCTGCGACAGCGGCCGCTCTGGGCTGCTGGCATCACCGAAGCACTCGCCCGCTAAGTGTCGAGGGTTAACGATTAAATCACTTTCCGCCAACCAGGCCCTCCCGCCCCTGCTGGAGACCAAGCGCCTGGTCCCAAAGAGCAAGGGTGGCCATGTGACACAGCAAGCACAGCAGACGCTGGGAATCCGGGGGGGCTGTCAGCTCTGTCTGACTTGGACAGTGCTCAGATGTGTAAGAATCAGACTCTGAGTCAAGCCAAGGATTTTCGCCAACACACACTTAGAATCTGGGGACAGGGGCACGAGCTCCCTGTCCTCCTCGTCCTGCCGCCGTCTGCCAACCTAACACCTGGAGAAGTGTCGCCTTCCGAACCCCATCAAAGGCCACCACGGCGTATGAGATCGAAACCCCCCACCGTGGGACAAAGGGCCAGCCCTCTTCCTAAACGCAAAGGCCCGGCACATCCGCACAGCCCCTGCCCGTGTGCCGGGGCAGTCTGCGTTAACGTTGAGCGTCCGGAGTCTGTCAGGGGACGTCCACCACCCTCGCCATCGCCAGTGATTCTATCGTCAGGACACTGAGATGGGCAAACGGAAGTTATTTCTCCTACTCAAGCAAGAGCAGGGTTTCAGCGGGGGACGCCCGTAAACCATGCTGCCGCTTACTTCTGTTGTGCCGGGCTCCCAAATGAGGGAGCGACTCCGCGAGTCATTCCTTGGCTTGCCAAGGCCGAACAACTGGGTGCTGGGCTCCAGACGCAGGCTCTAAGGCACACACACTATTCATCCCGCAGTGACACAGTGCACCCACGGGCCAGGAGTCTGGTTCATGGAGGCCATACGATTTGTCATTTAAACCTACAAATCTACATGGACATTCGTCACAGAGATCCCAAAACAGCAATAATCAAATTCATTCATCTCAAGTGCCTGAAGTCACAGAGTGGGTACAGTTGATCCACACTCAGCAGTGACGAAAGAGCCGTTTCACAAAGCAGGCAGCTGACTTGAGGACACAGCGGAGGAGCCAGGTGCTGGCTGAGCAGAGAGGATGCTCAGGCCTCTCTTCCTGCGAGGAGCCCCAGGTCGGCAAAGCTGGACGGCAAGGAAAAGAGCAAAGTGGCCACAGCTCTGTGCTGAGGCGGGCCATCGAGGACCCGGTTCTCGGCAGGACATGTGGTTTGTCCTAAGTCCAGAGGAAGCCCCGCCGGAACGACTGGCAAAGTCCACCTGGGAGACCCCTCTCAAAGCTCCCTCTCCACACCCCTAACCTGCCAGCCTCCTCCAAGGGTGCGGTGACCACCAGAGGACCCAGGATGCCACCCTTGCCGGTGCCCGGCGAGGCACATGCAGGAGAAGAGGTGTGAACATCCACACTTCCCTCCCATGGCCAGACACTCCCCAGTACGTCTTGGAATCTGGCCCTCCTCCCCGGGGAGCAGCGCCCCCCGACGACGGCTGCCACGTTCAGTTCAGAGGCCCGCGGCCCTCCAGCCACCCGCTCTGGGCCGGGAGCACGTCTCTGCCGTGCTCCTGCGTCTGCTCGAGGCCTCACGGCACCGCTCCTCTCAGGCACCTGCCGTCAGGGTGGGAAAGCGGAACTTCCGTCCTCGGGGCACGTCTACCTGGCCACAGGCTGAGGGATGGTCCCCGGGCTCACTGGCACCTGCACGCCCTTCTCCCACTCCTGTCTCCAGGGGTCTGCCAACACGTAGTACTCATCCGGGTTCAGCTGGAAGGAGTCGTGCAGCTTCATGGCGGTGATCAGGTCCGTCCTAAACACCTGGAAAAGGGGCAGGCAGGGTCACTGACATCTGACATTTGCATTCTGAGTCAGCCGGCAGCCACAGGTAACCATGGTGCTGCCGTGTGACAAGGTCACTGGATCGACAGAGAACCAGTCTGACCTATTACTGGAAACCCCTCCACCTGCCACACCCGTGGCCTCTCCACTGGGGGTGGCAGCAGCTCACCCTGCCCTGTCACACCCTCATCAGCTCCAGGAGAGGCAGTGTCTCCGACAGTGGCTACAACAGCCACAAAGCAACTTCCCCATCCTCCCCTGAAGACCTCGTGAGAACTAGCGATTCACCGCACGTGCTGAGGACGCGGGCAGGACAACCCCTAGAGGGAGGTATTTCATGCAGGGTGCTCTTGGTAGATTTGGAAAAAACAAAACAAAACAAAACAAAACTCCACTAGCCATGTAGCAACCTCAAGCCTAACTCAGAACCACTCAGACCGCCACCCCTGGGCCCGCCTCCCCAGGGCCGCCCGCGAGGCGTCTGGGAGGTCAGGTCCTGGCTGGCTAGTGCCAGGCATGAGTGCAGGCTGGACGAATCCAGGGACAGAAGCAGGGACAGACCAAGGAGTCAAGTCTGAGAAGGGGCTGCACACACGCGTGTGTTTGCACACGTCTACCTGACTCGAGTGCACACGTACTGGCGGGGAGAGGGAGGGAAAGAAAAGCAAGCTGCGCTGCTACGCGTCCTCGCTCTGCCAAAAACAGACCCACAAGACTCGGAAGCACCCTGTGCCGAGACATCTCCTCGGCCCCACAGTGCAGGCCACGAGGGGACACAGCGAAGGCGGCCCCGCACGCCTGCTCCCTCTGACCAGCGCGGGGAGGCCAGCACTGTCTCGCAGCCGGGCCTCGTCCTCGGTCCGCTCATGTCCCAGGGCTAATGGAGGGAGCGTGGCCCTGGCATCAGCGCCAGCCCAAAGCCGTATTTGGCACAGAGCGAGCCCGCATCTGCGAGCTGCCCTCTCTGTCTGTACAAGTCACAAAGCTGAACTCTCTCTTCTTGAGAAGGACAGGGAGTTCTTTCTTGTGCTGCTAAGCACAGTTCACATTATATGCCTGCTAACAGGTCTGTATTTGTTTTTCCTGGTGGCTTTTCAGGCTGGTGATCACTTTAATAAACTTCACCATCATAGAATCTGAGGCAGTGTCTGAATTAAAAAAAGGCCATTTCTCTACTCTGCCAGCTTTTCCCCAGGATGCCACTCCTCTTTTCCAAGTCCTGGGGACAAGGGAGGACCTGACTGTGCACCTTCCACAAAAGCACAAGCAAGACTGAGTCGCTTACAGCAGCATCCCCAACCTTTTTGGACCCAGGGACCAGTGCTCCTATGAGAATCTAACGCCTGATGACCGGAGGTGGAGCTGAGGTGGTGATGCTCGCCCTGGGGAGCGGCTGCGAATACAGATGAGGCTTCGCTCGTGGACCCGCCGCTCACCTCCTGTGTGCCCGGTTCCTAACAGGCACTGACAGGTACTGGGGGTGGGGGTGGGGGGATGGGGTTGAGGACCCTTGCCTTATAGCACTGAGCCCCACAGCAGGCACCTGGCCCAGCCATGCCCTCCCTGCCCCAAAGAAAAAGTCCTTTAAAACAAAGTCACAGCTTTACATCATCAAGAAGCAAATCATTTCAAAAATAAACAGGCATTCCAACTAAGTCCTATGAGTAAAAAACGAGAAGTTTACCGAAGAAGGGAAAACGAACCAAAGCGGCAAGATGAGAAGTGGCAGACGAGAGACAGCCCAAGCCCTCACGCAGACTCAGGCGCAGACGGTCCGCAACTGACAGGTGCCCCCAAGCGGACGAGAATGGCCGAGGCCCTGGCGGAGCCCAACGTTAACAGCTTAAGTACAGAGTCATTTGAACTCAGGGCTGAACTCAGATAAATTTTAGAAAAACTCTGAAACAAAATACGGGTCAAGGGCAAGGTGGGCAGCGTGCACGCAGCTCAGTGCCTGCTGGCCGCCAGGGCCGGGCGAAGGGGCTCCCAGGGCACCGGGGCCCTGCCGCTCCCCACCCCGTGTCCCCACGTGTCACACGCCCATCAGAAAGGCAGCGGGGTCTGTGGGGACAGCACAGGGAATCGATCACACAAAGAGCAGCAGAGCCACTCTCATGCCTCAGGAAAGGAAGGGTGCGCAGCGGGTTCCCGAGGACAAAGGGCCTGGGACAAATCAAAGCCACAGAACGGCCACCTTCTCGGGAACAGTCGTCAGTCAGTCAGTCCAACAATGTTCAAGTGTCTCCGGGGGCGGCTTCCACAGCTCTGAAGGGTGCGCACTGCTTCCCTGTGGAGGGCGCTAGTCCGCAGCCAGCTCTCCCGTGAGCCTCAGCCCAGCGGCACCCATGACTCCGCGTCAGTCACCCCCACCCCCACCTGCAGGAACTGAGAACAGCTGGCCCAGGGGGCAGCGGCCTCGCTCCACCGCCACCACCACCGCCACACTACCGCCATGGGAGGCGGGCTGTGACATCATCCCACCAGAGACAGCGCAAAACCAAAGGGCGGAACCAAAGCCTCTTTCCCATAATCTGCTCACTTCACGACTGGACTAAACCAACATTCCTGTTCCTCAATAATTTAGATCCTCAGAGCCCAGCAAAGGTGTTCCAAGAAAACAGAATTTCGGGCCTGGTAGGGGCCCCTAATCAACAAAGGCCAGGAGAGACATGCGCATAAAAACGACTTAAAATAGGCTGATAGATGATAAATGACAGGTAGGTGGATAATGAAATGGGGGAGCAGAGGGAACATAAGTTGAGAAACAAATCTGAAAAGGGGGAAAAGCCTTAAGCATAATCTCCAAAACAAAACTCCCAGAACAGCACTGAGTTGCTGCCAAATAAGCCACAAATTTACAGCTAAAACTAACTTGAGGCTGGCAGTGACCGGCAGCAGCTGAACCCGCTGATCTCCTGGCCAGAGGAAAAGTTGTTGGGAGCCAGTGATGATAGAACGGAAAAGGAAAAAAAGAGTATAATTAATAATAACAATGGCTAACATTTACTGAGCACTTTTTACGTGCTGTGTATGAATTAACCTCTGTGTATTAGCTCACTTAAATCCTCACAAGAATCCTGAGATAGACAACTGAGGTATCCTCATCAGACAGATTTGGAAACTAAGGGACCGAGAGGTTAAGTAACTTGCTCAAGATACACAGGCAGACAGTGACAGCAGTCAAGCAGGTGTGTGTCCATCACACGCTCTCATGCACGCTCGGGAAGGACGTGAACAGTCACGCCAGCACTCAGCAAATACCTCCGAAGGCTTTCGATCTTCATGTCTGGAGCACGAACTTCTCCTGTGCTGAGATCGGGAATTCTGTGACCAAGTAGTTGACAGGCCTAAAGAAATAAATACCCAAACAGGAAGATTAAAAGTACGCACACAATTTTTAAAATCAGACTGAAGAAGGCTCACCTCCATGCCACCCATGAGACAAGTGTGACGCTCAGACAGACAGAGTCCCCTACCCCCCAGTACTCAAGTAAACACTTCCAAGAGCAGGTCTCACAGGACCCCTGGGTCCAGGCTAGCCCAGGGATGCTGTGCTGTCTGCATCCCAGGCACAGCACACAGGTGGGCACAGGTCCCCTTAGAACACCATGCGAGGTGGGGGCTTCACCCAGAAGTCTGTGCTTCTGAAGTTAAAAGGGTCAGTCTCCCACTGGTAAATACAAACTGAAAAATATTTGTCTGAGTTTTCAATAAATTTTCTAAATGCTAAGATCATCGTGCTAAATCAGAAGGCTGCCCGCAAAACGTTAAAAAAAGAAAGTTTTGGCTCCATGAAGCATAAAAAAAGTTGGATTCCCCAAGACTAGGAAGCCGAGACCTACAGCAGAGGCTGATGCTATGGCCAAACAGCCTTCAACATGGCCGTTCCCCTTGGCCCACGCCTGTTGCTGCCCCTGCTCATGTGTTCTACAGACTCTGGGCGCAGCAACAGGCGTGGGCCAAGGGGAACGGAGTTTATGGGTGCCACACTGCCTCCAGAAAACCGGAACAGCTCTCACAATCACCTGCAGTATTGTCTAACTCCCTAATAACTCACCTCTACCCTGAAAACATACTGTCCAGTTTCCCAGAAATTAACAAATCCCACCACCACCAAAAAAAAAAAAAAAAAGCAAAACCTAAAGGAACAGCCATTCTACCAGTAAGATGACTTGTCACTCAAACAGGAAGCTCTTATCTCTATAGATTCCAGAGACAAGGGACACAGAAGCAAAGTGACCTTGGGGACATTAAGAAATAGAATCTGCCAGTAAGCCTATCATCAGATTTGCAACAACCAAGTCTAATGGCTTCACTCTGGTAGGGGAGAGGCCGGCACCTCCCCGGGTCACCAGTTCTAAGGCCGATTACAGGGTCAACTGACTGCTGTCAAACCAGCAGAACCAGATTTCTGACAGGTGCCCCATGTAGTTAGTTCTCAGTAAATTGTTTAGAACATTTTTCTTTAAAAAATAAGTGTGTCTTTTTAGACCTCAAATGACTTGTTTCACTTCCACATTGAAAAAAATATTCTGGACACACTAGGGTGAGCCAACTTACAGGGGTGCTAACACTGGTCATCATCCCCGGAAAAAGGAAAGAGCCAAGTTAGGAACACAGAGGGGGACGGGGTAGCTCCTGTCTCCGGACAGGACTCTTTGACTCCCAGATCCCGCAGGCCGCCCTCCGGCCGGCCCACAGGGTGAAAGAAGAGACAGGAATCCCTCAGCAACTCTAGGTGGAGGCCCAAGGGTCTGGGGAGGGGAAGGGAGCTGCAAGGCAGACAGGCATGGCCCTTTCCTTTGAAATACTATGGGAAGGGCTGTCTGTAAATAAGGAACAAACCCAGAAATTTAAAAAGAATTATTCCATTGCTAACTTTAAATT